GGCCACATCTGCGGGCCTTTAATGCCAACTGGATCCACGGGAAAACAAACAAACAAAAAAAAAAAGTTATGGTTTGGGGCTCTGACTTAGTAATCTGAGATTTTGGGGAGGAGGGGAGACAAACTCCTTTTTTGTTATTTTTCTCTTCAGGCCTGGCTCGGATATTAATAGTAAGTTTGTGACCGTAGCGAGCTGAAAAGATGTTTTTTACACCAAGCATTTCACCGCTCGGATCTAAATTTCCTAGCGCTTGTTCAGGCGATGCCCCACACCCTTTTGCTTTGGGTGGGTGGGAGGAGGCCCGCAGAGGGTGTCGTACTGTAGCATCGGCGATGCTGCTAGCACTGGTCATACAAAGGTTTTCCAGCATTACGGAAGGTTCCCTCAAGTCTTTTTGAGGGACCAAAAGCGCAGAAGGTTTTTCAGGCCCAGGTGCGCTTCTGTCCCCTTTCGTACGGTGACAGTCTGAGACATCTGAGGCAGGCGGCAGCCCTCCGGCAGTATTGTTTTTCCTGGTGTTCAGCTACCGCGCAGATGCGCTGTTGGCCAAGAACTCAGATTTAAGTGTGACACGCGCACAAAGCTGTTTCCATCCCGAAGGTCCTCCACAAAGTGCATTCACAGCCTGCAGGGCCCTGATCCAAAACTTGCTTTCTGACTCATTTTTTGGATGCGAGTCACTTAGAAGTGAGTTTTCTGGAGAGAGTTGCACAGAGATGCAAAGGAGTTTGATTGTGTTTAGGCATGAAGAGAAGCACAGTGGTAGGAGAAGGGAAGGCTTGATCGCTCAGGGTGACAGAAAAAGAGGAAAATTTGCTAGAGATGTAGGCTGAGCTGGAAGAGAAATCCTGTAGAAACTTAGAAGATCATAAAGATTTGGGCTGGGGGTTTTAAGATTGGAGGAAGTGATGGGCAAAAGGCCACTTGGACCAGCCTACTTGTAGATGGTTGAAGTGTCTTGACCTCCCCCTACCTCTCTGCCTTACTCTGTTCTTCTGCGTGGTCTTCTCTATAGCTGTTTTGCTGGATTTAGAACAAAGTAGGAGAGAAGCGTTGTCTTTACTGAGTGTCTCCCAAATGTGTCACATAGCCTGATGCTAAGCTACACAGATGGTATTCTTAGCAGCAGGCATTGTTTGCCTTTGAGCCCTTCAGCGTGTAGTTCTATGACTTTGATTCTCTGTCTTTGAGTGGGGCTAGCGCCACTGAGAGGGATGTTTTTGCTAACAGCGGAGTTCTGAATTTCCTAGATACTTTCAGCTTTCAATGGCAAATAGAACTTGTTTTAAATAAATGGCATACATCTCACTAATGCTTGTCTGTCTGTCAGTAATAGAAAAACAAATATAGGCTATGCAAAATAGGGAGAGACAGGAAAGTCTCTCGGAAAGCCTAGGTAGGATAAGCCTCCTCTTGCTCAAGATCATTTCTGCAGCTTGAAGTGGGCATGTGTCCTCCTGTGTCCCCCAAGTCTAGCTCTGCAAGGTGCTAGAAGAGGAGACAACTTCAGAGGGGAAGGGGTCTCCTTCCCCCAGCCACGGTGTAGATCTGAACCTTAAGCACTTCACAGCTGTCTGCAGTTCAAAGCTGCCTGCCTCCAGCCGCGAGAAGATGGCATCGCATCACTTATAGTCCGTTCAAGCTGGACATCGTAGCCAACAGAGCCGGAAACTGCATCTTCATCAAACACTTCTGCGTGCTAAATAGGAAGGCTTTGAAATCCAGCTCCTACCTGCCGCTGCTGACAGCTTTGCCAGGTCTGTGTTGTGCCATGGTGTCACAGCTCTTGGCTTGTTTTTTACTGTCCAGGTTCTGAGAAGATTTTTGTTTCCCCCACTCACGGATATTCAGCAGTAGGGAAGGGGTAGGAGTCTCTCCTGCTTGGCGTGAGCAGATCTGTCGTACCAGGGCAGATTCAAACAGAATGTGCTGTTGTAATTTGAAGACTTTTCATGCCAGAAGGAAACCGTCATAGCCTTGCAGCCTGCTCGGCTTGTAACACAGGCTGGCAGGGGTACCAGAGCCCCCCGCGGCTATAAGAGTCAGCAGTGCCCCTGGGGTCTGCCCTGGACATGTGGGCAGAGGCTGATCCGGGCCGAGGGGCCTGCTTGGGACTGTGCCCTGGACAGCACAGCTGAGATAGAAGTAAGGTGCCAGGCAGATTTTTCTGCTAATGAGTTTCTCACAATATTTATCAGTCCCTTACTAGTCATCCTAAAAATAGTTTGCCGTCTTTCTTGTGTCCTCCTCCTTGTATGTCTGTCTCTGGAATCTTCATTTCAGCCTGCCCTCTCTTCTCTTTCTCCCCAAACTCCCTGTTCTCCACCCCAGCTGCTTTTTTTGTCACTCCTCCCGCTGGGAGCCACTGAGAGTGTTACTGCTCCAGCTGCTTCTCCTCACCAGACAGCTAGTGGTTATTGCCCCTAAGCTCTGCCGGTGGAATAGAGGATGTGAGATCTCCTCAGCTGCCTCCATGCGGTCAACACAGTTGATCCCTGAAGGCTAAATTAAGCCAGCTGACTTTGCACTGGAGCAGATCAGGAGTGTTCACGTGCCTGTTCTGCTCACCTCTCCTGTGAGGCAGCTCCAGGCAGGCAGTTGTGATGCCTTACTCCGACGGAGCCCTTCGCAAAGCAAAGCGTGCGTTTGTGACCTTACCCTCCAGCCTTCTGCTTCTCCTCCTCAGTGTCACTCTTCCACAGGCAGGGAATGGGGTGAGGCATGCTGTGCAATGGCAGAAATGAAAGGAGACGCCTCAGAGACTGGCTGCTCCACCAGGAGCCAGTGCTTGATGTGTCTCATTGCTGCTGCATTTTCACAGACCTCTCTTGGGCTTTTCCTAGGCTCTCTTTTTCAACTCTGCGCTAGGATCCTGTCCTCAGAGAGAAACAGAGCTGCATTAAGGTGGAGGTAAAGCTACCTGGGGGGAGAGCAGCCCACAGAGAGCCACAGGTTGCTTGCTTTGCCTGTGCTGGAGCACAGAGACGTGCTCCCTGCCTGCCCACTCCCGTTACTGCTTTTACTGCTGTGGAGGAGTTTGGGGTGCGCAAGAGACAGTGGTGACAGCTGCAGGGGATCAGCCCTCACGGCAGCCAGCACCCTGCATGTGGCAGAAACGAGGAGCAAAGATCATTACTTAGACTCTTCCCTTCACGTGTCCCTTTCCCCTTACCTGTCTCCCTGTCGTGCCGTTCCTTGAGAGAAGCTGATGCTTTGCTGTTGTGGTGGAGGAATAGATCAGCTAATGGGGCATGGGAGAAGGTGGGTATCTTGTGCTCAAAAAGAGTGAGAAAATCCAGCTCATGTCCAGCCAGTCCTGTCTGTAATCCCCCAGTCCCACTGCAGTCTTACTCTCATATCCAAAGCATTTGCCCTACCTGCTCCCACAAGGAGAATCCACTTTGATGCTGCAAAATTGAATTTGCCCGCACCGGTAGGACGTCTTGATCCAGCCATGATGAGGAAGCCACGTGTATAAGCAGAGCACGGAGGGTTGTCCATAAAGGATCTGTTTCCGTCATGTTATGAACACAGAGGCTAAAACGTATCGCTGTTGCGGTGTCTCTCCCAGGCTTTGGATTCCTGGTTGCTTGGTGTCCTGTGGTTCTAGCACCCGTTCTCTGTGCAGTGAAAGAAGAAATGAGTTTTAAAGAAGCTGAAAATGCCTAGTCTAAGGCATCCTTGGGGTCGGACACGTGTGATGGGAGAAGGGCACGTTGCACGCAGCGCTGACCTGGTGCTTGTTTTTAATCACCATCTGATTCATCGTAAACAGACTCACTTGGCAGCTTGTGCAGGCTGGCAACACAAAGCTCAACTCCTGACAAATTTCTCATGCTCACCCTCTCTGCTGTAGCTGATTTAGATAGAACTTAGAAAAGCACCTGGCATTTTTAAGCCTTCTTTCTCCTAGAGCTCTGGGAAACCCTTCCATGGCTAAAGAGTAAAGCTCTGTTCCCTTTGGTTAAATGTTAATTCTCAGCTCATGATGTAGCATCTCCTAATGATTTGTGTTGCTGTTCCCTCCACCTTTGTTCTGTGGCCACTTTTCTCTTTTTTTTCCCGCTAGTCTCCTACTGCATGTTATGGGCCAGCTTTCACTCTGGATTGGTTTTGGAGAGACTTTTCTCACAGCCTCCACATACTATTTCCAGATGCTCTCGTGCGAAAAGCAGGGTGGCACCATGGACGTTTCGACAGCTCCTTGGGTGGTGGTTAGTGTTTCAGACTGATGTTGACTAAATGAGCAGAATACTCTGAATACGTACAAGACTTTTGAAGATGCAGCTCTATTAAGGAATGATGTTTTCCATTATGTTTAAAATGATGGAAAAGTAGTCTGAGTCTCTTACAAAATGAAAAAGAAATTAATATTTCCTTACCTGCTACGGTCTCTCTCGGGTTGCTTGTAACTGCTAAGTAGCTGGTAATACGTAAGTGCCATGTAGCCCATCTTCAGGTCTGTCAGATCACCTAGGTGTTTTCTTGAACCGCTTTTGTGTGAGGTGGTGTTCAATAGTGACTGCATTACTGCCTCGCAGGGAAACATCTGCCTTCACTAGGGGAAACAGTGACATCGTCTAACTTTTGGTAGCGTAAAGGATAGATTAAAAAATGCTTCATGATAGATGGAAGCCACTCATTCTTCATCTGCCCTTTTTTCAGTACCTGGAAGCAATTCTGACCCCAGTAAATTGTGATCCATGGCTACAGTGCTCATATGCCGAAGATTTCCAGGACTCAGCAGGGTGACTGCATTTTCGACTACCGCCAAGTGCAAGGCCGAGAGTGGAAGCAGAAAAGGGAAGCAGAAAAAGGAAGAGACCTCAGAAGCAGCCAACAGTGGGACTGAACCTGTGGCTACAATCCAGTTGCTGAGTCCTTCAGGCTACAGAGTATTGTATAATCCATCTGCCTATGCCAAGAGCAGAGCTGCCTCCCAGCAGCATGTGGCTAGAAACCGCGGCCAGGCTCTTGACGGCACTTTCTCCAGCCCTGGCACTGCGCAAGTTCAGAGTACATTCAGTACCACCTCTTCTCAAGCTTTGCCAGCTATCAAAAATGCCCTGCCAAATCCAAAGTCCAAACCACTCCTTGAGCAGACTGTCTCAGCGCAGCCGCCTGCAGCACGAACCAAGGAAGAGGCAGAAATGGAAAAAGCAGAGATGCATGACTCTAAGGAGGACCCTCGCATGTTCCAGAAGGGGAGGCCTGAATACCAGTCTCTCAGTTATAACAAGTTTGAGCTGATAGAGGCCCTTCCTTTAGAGGAAGGTGATTTGATTTTACACAGTATAACAACTGTACGCAAGGACACCCAGAGCCCGGAAACCATCACAGATTATTTTCGGAAGCTGAGTTGTTTGCCGGTGGAACAACATGCAGTGTTGAGGTCTGACCCCAGGTTTAATAGGCTGTGTAGCTGTGCTGTTGAAAGCATCCAGTTGTTCAGTACATCAGAACTCATTGATATTTTAAAGGCTTTTGTTCGTTTAGTTGTTCCTCCCACCCACCCGATGCTGAACGCGTATGAGAATGAATTCTGCCGGCGGGTGTGGGACATGAACCTGGACCAGCTGCTGCTGGTGGCTGATTACTGGCGCTGCCTGGACCGTAGTGTGCCTTCCTACTTGAGCATTTTGTTCAGCTATGCCAATATGCACTGGAAAGACCTCACCTTGCCCCAGTTTGTTCAACTGGTGTATATCATAGGTGAGGGCCGGAAGTCACCTGCAGACTTAATGCAGAAGCTGGAGAGCTTGATTTTGAAGTACTTGGATTCCTTCACCCCGGAGGAGGTGGGTACTATTTGCTTAGGGCTCTTCAAGTCAGTCAGTGGTATCTCTGACCATATCATGAGAAAAATTGGAGACAGGGTCTCCCTCCAGATGGAAGACATGAGCAGTTACGCTTTAGTGAACGTTCTTAAAATGCTCCGCTACGCTCGCCTAGATCACCTGCCGCTCCTGAGGCAACTTGGAAAAGTTGTTCCCCCTCGAATTCCCATGATAAACATCCAGGGCATCATGCACATCGCTCTTACTTGTTCATCCTTACACTACTACGATGAAGACATTTTGGCTGCTGTAGCTATGTCGTTACCTTCCAAGGTGACTTATTGCCGAAGCAAAGACGCTGCCAAGTTCTTGTGGTCGTTTGGATGCCTGGACTATGAACCTCCAAATGAGGAACGGTTTTATTCCGGTCTGATAGAGCAAATGCATAGAAAACTCCATGAATTTGAGAAGTTTCCAGAGCACCTTCTTACCGGTTTGCTTGGCCTGGCGTTTGTCCAGCGCTTCCCAGCTGACCTGATAGACTATGCTTTGAGCGATGAGTTTGTCCAGAAAACGAGAGAGAGTAAATATGAGCTCAGAAAAGACCTGTTCACCCTTGGTAAGAGTGTTGAAATTGAGTGCCCAGGTTACAAAGGCAGCCGCCTTCCACCTCAGCTTTATGAAGAGCTTACTGAGATGGTTTTGAATTTTGCTGAGCAGGAAATCTATGTCAGGCCTGAAATTGTGGAAGCTGTATCCCTTCTTGAGAGCATGTTAGGTGGCCCCGAGTATGTGAAAAGCCACATGCTTTTGCCTCACACCAGATCGAGTGATCTGGAGGTTCATTTGGCCATGGATGGACATCCCATCCCTTTCAACCTCAAAGATGCTACTGCAGGTAAAAAACTAAAAGTCATTGGAGTTAATCTAACAGAGGACTTACTGACTCGGCTTATAAAAGGGAGATGTATTGGCCAGTCGCCTGCGGAAGTGGAAAACGGAGCCAAGGCTCACGGTCAGGAGAGGGCGGAAGAAGCACAGGCTCCCTGCGCTGGGGGTCGCGCTGCATTTTCACATGGAGCTTCTGTCACGGGTGCCGGGATGAAAGTTTGGCCTAAATCACAGAGGTTTCTTGACAGCCCTCTTTCTTCTGTGTTGAATCAGCAGCCTCGAGAGGTGAAACTAGCTATTCAGGTGTCCAACCGAAACCACTATTGCTACTGCTCCAAGCGGCTCTTGGGGCTGCACAGTTTGAAAAGAAGGCAGCTCCGGCAGCTAGGATACGTGGTGGTTGAGCTTCCCTTCTGGGAATGGTTTCCTCTGCTCAAACGCACGCGTTTGGAGAAACTGAGCTACCTCCATTACAAAGTGTTCAACCCAGCGCTGCTTAATGGAGCTGGCTAATACAATCTGGTGTGGCGCTTGCTCAGACGGAGGCTGACAGAACCACCCAAACGCATCTCTGTTTCTGATCACTGGTCTCTGAATATTAGTTAAGTTTTTGGCAAGGGCTTTGTGTGCTGAGGCTGCCCTGCTGTGTTACCAGTTCTGTTCTGCTTTACTCACGGTCGTATGTCTCGTGCTGTCCTTTTGTACGTAGATGCTCAAATCCTTGCGTTACGAATAAAACCTACTGTCGCATTCGTTTTTCTCCCTGATTACTTTTTTTCTTCCCACTGAATGAAAGTGGATGGATTTGGTGACTCAGTGTTTGAGAACAGAATAGTGTCAGTGCTGTAGTGATATTTAGGAAAGAATTGGAGTATTTTTTAGCCATGATGCTGATTTGGTGTCAGGAATACGCATACGTATTTCCTTACTGTTCCCAGCGCTGTTGAATTGGGGGCAAGTGGGTGAGCAGTCAAAGTTTCTCCGTTAGGAGGCAGAAGGGATTGTATGTAACCAGGACAGAGCGTGAAGGCTGAGTGGTGAGAAGAGAGCTGGGGCTGAGGGTTGGGATGCTCTGACCCTGACACGTTCAGTTCATTTTGAGCTCTCGGCAGTGTCTAGCAGCGAAAGATGTACCTCCTGTAATAATCCTGTTGATGTATCTGTTGCTGGTAAAGATGAATTGGGCCTAAAAATCCAACTGGAGGCGATTCCTCTGCCTGGGTGGTGATTCCTGTTGCATTCTAGCTGTGTGGAGCATCTGCTCTGGAGGCTGATAGTTTCACCTTCTGCCACACTGCTCATTATGTTATTTTCTTGCTCAGGATGTGGCCCGGCGTCTTATTTCTGCATCATGTTCTGAGGACAGAGTCGCTGGCTTCTTCCTGAGCCTTCAGACGGCATTTCTCTCTGAGGTGAGGGTTATTTCCGAGGTGCACAGGGAAGTGCGTCGGACCAAAGCTGCAGGAATTATTTCATCTGGGGCGGCAGGTGACGTTCCCGTTTGCACCGCAAAGACAGCCGTGCCTTTCTGACTGTTTTGCAGCGCAGGCGGAGGATAGGAAAGACAAGTGGCTGTAACTTCATTGCTGTCCTAAGCTAGGTTATATATGTTAGCTCGTTTTGGCTGCCTAATTTAAAAAGACTGGGATTTTTTTTTTTTTTTTTCTCTTCCCCTCAAATACTCAGTATTACGAAGCATCTTAGTTCAGTGACCGCTGTGCATGTTCTGTATTACTGGAGCTCCCTGATTGTGTGCAGGAGACCAGGAAGAGACACTGAACGGCTAGTTACAGAAAGCATAGTTTTAAACAAGTTCACAGAGGAACTTGGTGGCAGCGAAAAGGACAGAGCGCAGTCCCTCAGGTCTGAATTTCACTGCTTTGATGAAAAGATCCTTCACCTTAGGGGAGGCACACACCCAAGGAAGATGAACTCTTGTGAGACATTCTGATGGTGCTTTGCAATCTTGGAGTCCTCACCTGTTCCTCTGTAAACTGATCCTTAGTCTGAGCTGGATTTTCATGCGAAGAGTAAGAAAAATACATCCGTTGCTAAAGGCAGCTTAGTGCCAAACTAAGATCTTTGCTGTGAAGCAGGAGTGTAGCTGAGCTTTTCAAAAGAAGGGCCTTTCAAAAGAAGGTCACGTTCAATGATTTGAACGTGCAGAGTAGTATATTTTCTTACTGAAATGTTTAACCTGGAGCATTTCACTGGAGTTATTTAAGTCTGTCCAAGTTACAAACAGGTAGGAAAGTATCCTAAAATAGTTTCAGATAAATATACGTACATAGCTTGGTATACATTTGAACAGCTTTCAACACACATCGAAAGACAGCAAGTTTAACCAGAGAATAAATTCTTTTTAATTAATCAGAGCTAATTGCCGGAGGATATTAAGAACTCGGATGAAAATTTAGGACATAAGCTCAGTAACAGCCTTCAGCTAGGAAGAAGCTTTCCTTCGCAACTGGGCCACAGTGTGAGTCTATCCAGAGGAATGGCTTGCACCCATCTCTGGTTTGCCTGGTACGGGGCAGCGCTGCGAGGAGCTGGTTGCAGCAGAGGGGTCGCGGGTTCCACAGGAGGATTTGTGCTCAGCCACAGGCAGGATCTCAGCTGACGGTGGCTCATGAGAAGCGATTGCCTACCTAAGGTCTTTAAATTGACTAGTTTGCAGTAATGTCAAGGTGAAGCTGTCTCTCCACTCACCTTGAATCAGGGTAGGTCACACTGAGAGTTACCAAATGGAAACGCTCTCGCAACGCTGTACCAACAGGAAGCCTTTTCTCAGGCTCAGAAAGTCGGGAGAGTGATACTGGAGGAAGTGTTGGTACGTGCTTGCTCTCTTCCTCAGTTGTTCCCCGTTCAGGAGCAGGAATTGGTCCTGATCACCGTCTTACCAAATGTCGGGCTACAGGGGTGCTAGCCTGGCCCACTGCAGCTCTTTCGAGGTTCATGAATGTTTTGGTCAGGCAATGGCATTGCGGGCTTCAAGCTCTGCTCTCTACAGGCCTCACTTCCATAACGTTTATTTTCTTGTGTTGAATTAGTACCTCGGAGCCGATACCACATTTCTCGTTTCACTGTTACGCTTGATCACGTGCAGAAGGGACTGCACTTGCACGCTTAGCAGGCAGGCAAAGCAAGCTTTGCTAAGCGGCCTCACTTCATTACAGTCTATGTTCCAATTGCCAAACTGAAGTGTCCCCAAAAGGCCAATTTCATTTCGGCTGAACTAACAACTTCAGTTGAAAATCATTAAAGGGCTACTTGTTCTTGAAAGAAGCAGTAGGTTCATGATTTGTAAGACTGCCCAAGGCAATGACATATTAAAACTAAGGTTGGCGTAAGGTTAAAACTCTTACCTGGCAGATAATTTCATTCTTAAAAGGCATCTGATATAACCAATTTGAGTTAACGTTCTCTGAATGCAAAAGATGGTGCATTCACTTGAGTTTCTCTAACGTACACTGTCAGAAGAATCAACTGGGTCAGTGTTCAGAACAGAGATAATCACCCTTAGAGCTATTAAATGCCCTCTGCTGCCTTGGAGCTGTTAAATACTAATTATTAATATTTGTATTTAATCTTAGCTTTCATCTGAGGCTCCCGGAGCCCTTAAGAAATATTGCTTTTTGTAGCAGCAGTGTTAGTGCTGATGTGTATTATCCTCATCGCAAGAGGCCCTGTCTGAGCTCAGGTCCCTGATGTTGGGTGTTGTCCAAGCGTACAGGCAGGTCCAGCCTCCAACTGCTGACAGATAGACATCTGGTGGATAGCCATGGCGTGCGGGGAGAAATGGGCACAGAGGCAAAACATCCAGTTCAAGGCCGCACAGCAAGTTAGCACAGAAGGAGGAATGGACACTGTCTCTTTCTGCCTCGCAGCAGCGAAGGGCGTACACGCTAGCACAGCGCTTAGCCCCCTGTCCTACAGTTTAGTCCAGGGAGGAGCGAGGCTGCTGGGAGTTTGCCCCGATTCCCCTCGTCGCCTTTGACAACCTCCTGTGATATTGTAGTGCTTTGCCGTATCTGCAAAACCACAGGCGTCTTTGATAAACTTTCAGACCTTATTCCTGGCTTATCCATAGGCAAGAGATTTTTACCTTTTTTTTTTTTCTACCTTTTTCCTTTGACGTTTCTCCAGGGGTTCACTAATGAATGTTGGTGTGTGGGTTTCTCTTAATCCCATATCTTCACCGCAGTCATTTGGGTTTCTATTACACTGGCTTCACCTCCCTAACTCAGATCTTAGCTGCGTTTTCAGAACTGCCAAGCCTGTAATTCATACTGACTCTGAAACACTAGGTCCTTTCACTGTTTGCTGATGTTCACTTTTTTTATTTTTTACAAGCTGTATCTGATGCTCAGAAAGTGAGCTCTCTCCAGCTGCAAAGATGGTAATAAATGTCTGTCTCCCACAGTTCAAGCCGAGAATTCACTGCAACAAGGTAAAATAATAATGTGTGGTGTTATGGGAGCTGGAGGGATGGAGGGGCTTGGTGGAAATGACATACAGGACTCACTGAGGCTGGGGAGAGCTTGTTCACTGCTCCTGCATAATAATTCAGCAGTGACGTCTGGAAGACTGAGTTTAGCTGGCCATGCCAGGCTTAGCATGACCAGCTAAAGAAAATACAGCAAAGCTAAAGAAAACACAACAAAGGCAACTCATAGCAAAGTCCCATCATGTTATGTGGTCTGGGTGGTTCAGAGAGGGATTTTAATATGGGAGGCTCCGCTGATGACAGAGGCGTTCAGAGAGGATGCTGTCCCAGCTTAGGTAAGGTGTAGGCTTTTTAATCTGCAAAACTGAGAGCACTTTTGTCAATTAAAAACACTTTCCAGTAACATGGGAGGGTTGTATTTTGGGGGGTGAGGTGCTGCTTGGAGTCGCTAAAGCAATGCCTGCCGTTGCAAGCTCACCAGCCTCCTGTCGTTCCAGGCGGGGGGATTTTGTTAACTGATACTGGTAATCTGGACTCCTGGATCCCCTTCCTCTTTCATACTTCAGTCTTGAGAAGTGTGAGCACTAAGCAAGAGAACCAGTGTCTAGTACACTCGGGATCTGCAGCTCATGTGAAGATAAACTGGAGCTGAAAGCTCAGGACTTGGAAAAATCAGTATTTAGTGTTAGAACACTGCATTACCTTCTGCTAGTGCTCTAACATGGAGGGAAAATGCCCTCATTTTACAGGCTCTCATAACGTGACAAAGTTATGTCCTTACCGGTGTGTGCGCTTTAACTTTAGATGCCTTTTTTTCCCTGCATTGTTGCAGCTTTCAGTTTGTCCAGTTGAATATGCAGCTCCTGACAACGTTGAAGGTACTCTAATCGGTAGTGGTTACTGTGTGCTTCAGTACACAGATTTTCGTTCAACGTTGTCAGAATTGCTTAGATGCTGCCTCATCCTTCATTCAAAGCCATTTTTGAATTGTAAGAGTCTCCACCAACCCACACCCCCAAACCCAAGGAAGCCTTGGATTTGTAAGTACTGTGCTGTGAAGATGGCAGTACAGATGTGACCATCCGTGTGGGTGGTGTGTTGATGGGAGATCCAGCGTGCCACTGACGTTTGGCTTGATGAGGTTGTGCTACAGAATTTGACTCCTCCTGACATGGTCTAGTTTAGACAGGACAGAAGCAAAAATCTGAATTCCTTAAAGCTAAATGTTAACGATGCACTTCTCCCTTTCCCTTTGTTCTACAAGAGCGCTAATTTACCTGGGAAATGCTTCTAACTTTCTGAGCTGCTTTTCGCTAGCGGAGGGGCACACGCAGGCAGACATGTCCCAGCACTCCCCTACAATTAGTTCAGGGAGCAGAAGTCACTGCAAGTTTACTCTCACCACTACATGGGCCTCGATGGAGGCACCCCGTTAGCCTGGCTTCTCCTGAGCCCTCTCCTCAAGGTCTCTCCAATGATTTCCACAGCTCTTCTTTCCAAAAGGCCACAATAGAGGCCCGTCTTAAGCAAGTGGGCAGTGCTGATCCTCCAGAGGAGAGGCCCTGCTGTAGCATGTGGCGGTAGAGCAGCCAGGCTGCGGGCAAGAAGTTTCAGATATACCAGAACTCGTGGAGCAGGGGAGAAAGGGTATGGGTTAGGTGAGTAGGATGAGGCCCTTGCCTCCACACCTAACCATGCTGGCATTAACGTAGATTCTCTTCCCTGAATTCCAGACAGCACGTGCTCAAGCAGTAGAACAGGGTCTTTCTCCTGCCGCTGAAGCCAGGAGGCATCTCCTTCAACACAGGTCGTTGCCCACCTGGTGACCAAGCAGGTCCACCTTCATCCCTGCTGATGTTCACACATGCACTACAGATCACGCTGCCTGCAGGAAAGTGTAAGGTGGACCATATAAAGCAGGTGGAATAAGTAGATGTTCCCTGCTGTTTTCAATTCATTTAGCAAGTGCTGAGTGCCTTTTAGGCCCCCAGGACGTTCAGGAGAGGGAACGGGTAGAGCCAAGGTGTCCAGGAGCAGTCCACAGGATGGGATTGCATGTTCTGGCAGATGAGGGGTTGGACCCTGCCTGATTAGAGAGGCATTTCTCAGAAGTGGTTAGGATTGATCCTAGTGCAGGACAAGGTAGTTGGCTAGCAGACATCTGGAAGGTTCTCTGGGAACCTGTAACTAAATGATTTGGAGTACGTTTTCACGTGACAGGGTAAGGCGACATAACATTTCATCACTGTTGAAAGAGGGAAGATCCTGTTTCCCCCACGCACCCACGCTCTGCTCCCAGCCGCACCATCCCACTACTCATCTCATGCTAGCTCTGCTGCTCATCAGATCCATCCATGCTTTCATTTAATTCACTGAACCGGTGAAAAACACAGACCATACGTGTTTTTCTGCTCTTTTGGCATGTTAAATCAGCTCTGCGAATCACCTGCCAGGTAACGGGGGGCCCAGAAGGATGGATGGGACCACGTGGCTGGGAGGAGGGTGGGAATGGATCTGCTCTCCTTCAGCAGCAGGGATTTCTTTATGTTGTCTGAGCTGCACGTGAAATTGCAGCCTTGGTTCCTGCTCTGTTTCGTTGTGCGAATCTACTTAAATGCTTACAAAACCAGTTTCCTTTTATTTTCTTGGTTCAAATTAAGCACAGTATTTCTTTTGAAACACAGATTTCTGCTGATGGTTACGAAGTTGAGAATCTCATCTCTGAAGACCTTGCCAGGAGAAATCGTGGTTTCCGCAGCGAGTACTTTATCAAGCCTCCGGTCCACATCACTATCTCTTTTCCCTTCAACATTGAGATTTGCAGGATTAATATCGACATCTCATCTGGGGGATACCAAACCTTCACTGGGCTGGAAGTATACACCTCTACCTCATGCAACAAAACCTCTTGGCAGAGCTCCGAGGGTCAATTCTCAGGTCTGGCCAGTCAGCCTGTGTCAGACAAAGACGCTTTCACGCTGGTGGGCAAAGCTGTCCTAAAAAATCAAAGCAAAGTGACATTTGGCCACAGAGGATTCAAGCCGAGGCCTCCCTTCCATCAGATGGAAAACGTCCTCTCCTATCCTGGCTCCGCATCTCAAGACCTCTGGAACAAAGGGCCTGCCTCCCTAAGCAACGTGTCACACTTAAAAATCTGCATCACCCACGTGGCCGGAGGTGGCCTGCCTTGCATTAAGAGGCTGGAGGTGTGGGGGCAGCCTGCGAAGTCGTGCCCGCAGGAGGTGATCGAGGGTGTGTTTCAGGTGGCCTCCCAGTGCTTCGCCCAGGACGTCAGCAGCCTGAAGCCAGAGCTCTGGACGCCAATGGAGAGCGACTGCGTGCCCTTCAGCACCAACGACAGCGAGCAGCAGACCCTCCGCAAGCTGGTGGATGTCGTCCAAGACATCCCCGAAGAATTCCTGGACCCCATCACTCTGGAGATCATGACCTTCCCCATGCTCCTGCCCTCGGGGAAGGTGATCGACCAGAGCACCTTGGAAAAATGCAACCGGAGTGAGGCCTCCTGGGGCAGGGTACCTAGTGATCCTTTCACTGGGGTGGCCTTCAGCCAGCACTCACAGCCCCTACCTCACCCTACCCTCAAGGCCAGGATAGACCACTTCCTCCTACAACACAGCATCCCTGGCACCAACCTCCTCGGGAGGGCTCATGCCTCAGAAATGCTCGTACCTTCTTCCATAACAATGTCTTCTCTGAAAAGGAAAATGGACTGTATGGATCAAAGCTCTGTGCAACCACCATATTTTTCCTCTACAAACTTACTTGTCACGTCTACCTCAGAGAACAGTGCTAAAAAAATGAAAACTGACAGTGACTCGCATTTGATCCAAATGGACTGTTCAACAGGTATCTTGGCTCCCTAATTCACTTCTCTTTCTTAACTGTCTTGACAGCCCAGGACCAGATTTTCAAGTCAGGAGACTCCAACCCAGATTGCCGTACCACCTCTGAAAAGCTTTAAGGCTGTTGTATTTTGCTGTTGATAGACATCATGGAAATCAGTTTATCGTCTTATTCACGTCCCCTCTCCTCGGCACAACCTGCTGTCCGCGGGTGGTATTTACCTCCGTTCTGTGCCGTTATTTTCTCTTCTCTAGCCTTGTTGTTCTCACCTTGCTGGTCTGTGCAGTCTCTTTCACGGTTCTCTTGAGGGTTCACGTCTCCCTGTTTCTCTTTTTGTTTGTATTTCCCTTCTACTTGTTGCTTTCAGGTCACTGGCATGCGGAGACAACCTTTTTCTCGTAATGTGGTTTGATTGGTTTTTTTGTTTAGTCGGTTGGTTTTTTTTAATCAGAGGTTATTTATTAGCCTGGACGTCCACTGATTGCTGGAGGCCGTTGCAAGAGCGTAGGACGCTCTCTGTGGGTTTAGCAGCTCCAGCCCAGCCGGATTTAAGTGCTTGGGGGAGCGGGGTTGACTTCTGGGGAAGTGACAGTCTTTAGAAAGCAAGGGTGATGTATGGTTTAAGTACCAAGGAAATTCACACCTATCTCCAAAAATCTGTTCCCTCTTGTGGTTTATTCTCAAACAAACAGTGCCTTCAGCTTCTAGTCCATGGTGAAGAGCTTGGCTCATGGGCGATTGCTCCGCTGGACTCCACGCTAGTTCTTTTGCTAGGTTCTACGTCTGTTTTGCCGTGTTTGATTTCTGCCTTGTTTGCACAGGAATACCTCAAATGTGTTGGAGTTGCTGTCTTTGCAACTCGTACGTGGATATAACTGTATTTCATACAGCAGCTTCTATATCTTCTCTCCGGTATCCTTAAACTGAGTTACTGCTTTAGGTAATAATCCCTCGGAGCGGGGAGGAAGGTAAAGTTCAGCTGGGAGGAAGGAGAGAGCCATCTTTAGCCGTCTAATATTTAGATGAGACTAAAGAGAGTGGCAGTGTCTCTGAGACCATGCATTGCAAGCAGCGTGGTCTGTGTAGGATGGTATAAATACCCAGTGCACACATGTCTTCTGGACACAGAAGGGCTGTCTCTCTGGGCAGGTAAGTTGAGTTTTCTAATGTATGCTCTCTAAACGAGTCACCTGAAACATATCAAAAGGCGGTCCGCAGCTTCTGATTGCTGTTAGTGCCTGCTGGTACCTGGCGCTCCCTTCTTCCTCCTCCCAAAAGTGCTAAATGGTAGCATTTTGAGGGAAAAGCTTGACGTAAAACAAATTCTTTAAACGCTTATTTTAAAATAACTGATGTTTTGGCAGTACCAGAAATAGCAGGAAGGAGTCAGACTGCACGTTTCCGCTCTGATCTCTCATCTGCAGCTCATTCAGTATTTTAGGAAGAGTCACTAGTTATTTTCATGGCGGAGGTGCGTAGGGGGCTCCCGCTGGGGCTGTGCCCTGTGGGCCTAAAGCTCTCAGGAGAGCTGTGCCCATATGTAAAGCAAGCACAGCGCTTGGCCCAGAGAGCTTATTTCCATATCTTCAGTATTTCATCAGCCTTGATTGCTGTAGTAATTGTGCAGCTGTAATTCCAAGGTCTTCCTCTGGGAGATTTATTTAACAGAATTAGTGGTGCAGACACCGTTTCCTTAATGCGTAGTCTTAATCAAAGCCAGGCGTTCGGTGTTGCGCAGGAGAAAATGCTGTTGTATCCCACAGGAAAAGGTCCGACTCGTGTACCTTTGCCTTTGTCCCTCGGCTCGGGTTTAGGTTCCTGAAACGGAAAGAAGAAAATCAGTTTTATTTGTGGGTTAAAGGTTCCCAGTTAGCTGCACAAAGCAAACCTGAGAGCATGGTGCTGCTCCATGGCACTGGGGCATTTGACTCCCTTCTTTGCAAAGTCCCTCATGACATTAACGTCTGACAGTGTCCAAAGGGTTTTTCCTCTTTAGGACCCAAAAGTTTTCCCCAGGGGTGTGAAGCACTACATCCCCATGCTGGCACTTCAGTGGGGGAAAGAGATCTCACGAGAAAATGGGTGGCAGAGCTTCTACAATCCTTAGCGTTGTCCCTTTTGAAATGTTCCAGAGACGAAGCAGCGTTTCTCTTGCATGCTGACGGCTTGCTTGTTCCCGGTGCCTGCTTCTCGAGCTTGCGCTTCTCTTTGCAGATCTGGTCTCTCACGAGCAAAGGCTGTCAGAAAGTCTGGACACGGCCTTGAACTCGGCGCTCAGCTCGATGCCGTCGTTTACGGCGAAGCTGATGAGGGGTCAGCAGCAGGCGCCCAGCGAGGGAGGCTGCAGTAGTTCGTGGAACGCCGGCAGCGTCCTCGGTAAGCACCAAACCCCTCTGCCTCACGTTTGGGAGCCAGAGAGGAGAACGGTAACTTGTGACGGCATCAGCAGGGAGGCTTGTGCAACGGCCTAGCATCTTTCCGTGCCTCTGTGGACCAAAAAATATCCGCAGTGTCTCTCAGTGAGCCTTACTTACCAGTGCTGCTCATCTACTACATTTTCATCTTGGCCGTTTTAATGGTTTATTCTCCTGGGGAGGCAGGTTAGACCCTGTTGACGCTGGGAAAGTGAGGCGTGTTGTCCGTGTCCACACTGCAGAGTTAGGGCAGGCTTCAGCCTGCCTGAGTCCTGCGATCTGCCTGCGTCGCTGGATGTAGTTTGTCTCTGCTGCCCAAGGCGGACCCTGGCTGTGGTATCTGGCTGCGGTGTCCCCGAGATACGGTGCTCGGCCTCGCCTGCGCCTGCTTGGTTCCCACTGCCTCGACAAGAGCTCACCCTGCTTCGAGGCTTGGGCTGTACCCAGGCCGGTTTGGGCTGAGCGCAGGCTGGGGAGTTGCCGCGTGGACAGTCTGGTGAGGAGAGCAGGCTTGAACCTAAAAGTGGCACGTTGAACCCTAAGAGTAACAGGTAACGATAGCAACGGCTGACGGGCCAAGCGTGTGCCCAGAATCCCGTCAGCTTTGCGTTCACAGGCCAGGCTGCTGAGTCCACACAGTTTTCGTTACACCTGCTAGCTAGACCTGCTCATCAGTGGCACCCGCCGGGG